GTTGTCGTCAAAGAGTTTGATTGGAGTCAAACGGATCCCAAGAGTGACGAGTTCTGTGGCCACAGACTCGATGCCATCGACTATATACTGGTCTCCGATTGTCTCTATTATGAACAGGTCTTGCATTGTGTTGAGAGAGAGAGAGAGAGAGAGAGAGAGAGAGACTTTGAATAATTTTTTTGATTTTTAATTTATTTTTTATGTTTTGATGGACAGAGTGTTCAACACCTATACGACACAATCGAGTGGTTGTCCTCAAAAGGGGCACAGGTTTTGCTGTCATACGAGGACAGGGATGACAAACAGCCATTGATTGATATGTTTTTTAATGTGAGTTATTATCAGACAAACACTGTTAACAAAGTGTATGAAAATTAAACAAATAATTGAATTATTTTTAATTATTAGTTAACGTCCGATAAATTTACTGTAAGTGAGATCCCGTGCCATGATTTACATCCCGATTATCGGTCACCAGATTTGCATTTATTTCTATTGAAACAAAACATTTGATTAGAATTTAAGCCATTATTTTTAACTACTGTATACCTCTTAGCCTTAATAAGTTATACGGGTAAATATTTTATGAGATTTATATTGTAAATTATACTAACTTTGTGATGAATTAATTAAATTAAAAATTAATTATAATAATTATGATTACAATCATTTATTCGTTACTTTAATAATAACTTTCCACAATTACTGTATTATATTATAGGAATTGAGATTTTATTTTAATGTACCGGAACAAAATAGTTGCAGAATATTCTTTGAGTATACGTAATTTTATTTAGAAATTGAGAAATTTTGAAATTTTTATACCTAATAAATATAGAAAACCTACAGTAGCATGATATAATCATCGATTTTAATAACATTGCACTGTATTTCTAACTGGTAATGTGCTAATTCTAAGTCAATTTAGCGAAAATCTATATTTTTGGTTTATTGATTCACTATAATTGAAATCCCGTGCCATGAATTGTCTCCAGGCTATCTGTCCCTTGATTTGCATTTATTTCTATAACATAATCAATGATACAAATATTTGAGATGTTTTTCCAATTACTTATTATTATATCAGATAAATGGGCGGAAAGTATCAGAAATCATTGAAAAGACAAATTGCATTAAAAGGTCAATATTTATGTAATTAAATTATTACATAATGTTTAAAT